AAGATTATTATTGGCTTGGTTTTCATCCGTACTAAGGGCGGGGAGGGAAAAAGAGGGTAGATTGCTTCATTTATCCTTTTTGCCATCCACTGCAGCTTTTGCTTTTTCCAAACCCGCCTTGGAGCGCCTTATCTGCGCTTCTTGCTGTTTGCACTGCGCATAGAGATCATTGAGGGAGAAGGCGGCGACTATGTTCTCCCAAGTAAAAGTGAATTTCACTACCTTCTTTGTCTTTGAGCTGAGACCCGGTCGGCGGTCAATCTCACGACCACCGCGAAAAACAATGATAGTAGGCAGCTGCTTAGACCATGTGGATGTGTCCACACCCACTTGACGTGCAAGAGCAGAACACCGCGCCACATCCACCTTGCCGAAGCGCAGGGTTGTGTAACCCGAATAGGCATGAGAGAGTTCCGAGAAGATCGGAGCCAGCGCGATACAACCCGGTGACCATACTGTGTAGAAAGCCACGACCCAAGTCACTCGGGGATCGCCACGTTCTACTACCTAAACATTGAGTGAAGGAAAAGGGGACTCCATTCACGTACCTTCATTTGATAAAAATTAACCTACTTCGGCAAAGTTGGACTCGTGGAAGTAGCACACTGATTCAGGACCACTGTAGACGGGCTGGAAAAGGAAGTATGCCTGGAAGAGCCACAGCACCCCATATACGGTTGCGTAGGTGAGGCTGTGGCGCCAAAACATGAAGAGATTACAGAGTTTAGCGAACATACAAAAATGGGCGACGTAATCGGGGACCGAAAACTGTCTTTTATTGCGCATCGTTATAAAGGCAGCGAGAAAAATTAGGATTTCATATTCTTGCAATTCGATTTCACATTGCTCGTAAAGTAGGCCACAGGTATAGGGTAACTTCTTTGTCAAAACGTAGAGGAGGCTCAATATAATATTCACGATATAGTAAGGATGCAGCAAATTCTTAAAACCGCCACGGGTAGTAGCGTACATCTGGAAGAGAAGGTGCAGAAAGGATAGTAGTAACGAATTGAAGCAATCCCTGAAGTTAACGAAAAAGGAATAATAAAGAATTAATAGCCCTCAGGTGCCATAGAAAGTTTTCAAATTGGGCACGCATCTGATAG